TTAAAATATATTATTTTAAAAATATAATAAATTAGAAGAAAGCTTTAACGTAAGATATTATAGAGAGAGATCTATATATATTATTACTCGCTATATTTTTATATATATAATTATCTAAAAGCCGAAACTTCTAATTTAAAAAAGTTAATTTTAATTTTATAAAAAAGATATTTAATACTTTAACGAGTATTAATATATATAAATTTCGAAGAAATTTAGATATTAAGAGAAGAGATTAATAGAGCTAAAATCGAGTAATAAAGATATAAATATATATTATCGATCTTTATATATATTATATTAACTTTAACGCGATTATAATAATAAAAAAGTATATTAGCGATAATTTTTCTTCTTAGATAATTAATACTTATAAGATATATTATAAATAATAATATTCTTATCTTTAATAAGAAAGATAGATTACTTAATATAATAATATAAATTTATATATATAAATCTAATATCTAGCGATAATATTATTAAATTAAATCGAATTAAATTTATAGTATAACTAAGTCGAGTTAAATTTAACTTATAAAGTCGAATTAATATCGCGAATTATAGAAATAATAAAATATTAATATAAAACGATTACTATTTCTAAAAAAATTATTTAAATAATATATAGTAATTATTAAACTAACGAATATTATTTAAATAATATATAGTAATTATTAAATTAACGAATATTATTTAAATAGTATATAATAATTACTAAATTAATAAATAGTATTTTAATAATAAATAGTAATTATTAAATCGACGAATAGCGTATAAAAAGTAAATTATAATTACTAATTAGGCGGAATTTAGGCGAATTTTAATTAGATTTACTAATTCGACGAATTTTATAATTTCCGCGACCAACGCGCGATTAGCAATTTCAAATTTTATAGAAACTTTTCAGATTTACAGATGTCTTAAATTAATTTATTTCACTTTCATCTAATATCTTAAAGTTATTAAAATTTTTATTAGATATAATTAAAGAGATTCTTTTACTTCTATAATCTAACGAGCTAAATCACGAATTCTCTTTTTAATAATTTAAAGTCTCTATAAAATTTCGAAAGTAGACTCTTAAATAGTAATTTTAGATTATTATAATAATCTATAAAATTACGAGTAAAGGTCTGTAAATTAAATTTATAATTTTTTTTTTTAATTAGAGCTATCGAGTAAATAGATAAGTAATCTTTAATAAGCGAACTTTAATAAACTATATTTAAATTCCTTACACTTTAATAATTATAAGATAAATTTTTAAAATTTTTAAAAATTCGAAAAGCGTAAATAGCGCTTTAAAATTTAAAATAAAATAATAGAAAATAAAAAAGTTATTACTATTATAAATAAAATATATCTATTTTTTTAATAAGAGAGACGCGAGAGAGTAAGATTCTAATAATTATAAACGCTAATTTATTTATCTATAATAACTTAGTTAATTTAATTAAAGAGCGTAGTAACTCTAAATTTATAATTGGTTATATATATAAATTTAAGATTTTTAAGCTTAGCTCTATCTTATTCTATTATATATATTAATACTCTAAGTACGCTACGTAATAGAGTAAGATAAGACGAGATTTTAAGTATCTAATACTACTTTACTTCGGGTTAAGGTTTTAACGAGATAAAGTAGAATTAAGATAGAGTTTTTTCTATCGAGATAACGAAGATATCTTATTATCTTATTAAGTCTATTAATTAGATTAATTTAAAATTATTATTTTTATAATATCTCTATAATATCTCTCTAATATTTTATAAATATAATCTTATATATATTCTAAGTATCTTTCTAAGTATTTATATCTTATATTCTTATTTAGACTACGCTATATAACGAGACGAGAAATCTCGATAGAGTTTCGAAGAGGGTCGAAGTCGAAGTAGGATTTTAGATTAAGGTTTTAAGTTTTCTTAAAATCTCAACTCTACTTCGACTTGAGAGCGAGATTTTAAGATATATTCTATTATCTTAATAAACTCTAAGTACTTCTAAGTAACTTCTCTAAAATTTAATATTATATATTAAGAACTATAATAAAATAAATTATAGAATATAATATCGTAATCTTAATTAAAGTATAAGATATAAATACTTAGAAAGATACTTAGAATATATATAAATTTATATTTATAAGATATTAGAGAGATACTATAGAGATATTATAAGAGTAATAGTCTTAAGCTAACTTAATTAATAGACTTAATAAAGATAATAAGATATTCTTATTATCTCGATAAAAAAACTCTATCTCGACTTTATTCTACTTCGTTAAAATCTTAACTCGAAGCGAGATAATATTAAGTACTTAAAATCTCGTCTTACTTCGCTTCGTTATATAGCGTAATTTAGACTATAATATTATATTCTATATTCTATTTTATTCTATTCTTAGTATATTTTATTAAAATTTAGAGAAGTTACTTAGAGATACTAATCGAAAAGATATAATATAATATAAAATATTAACCTGCCATATTATACTCTAATATAATATGAGATATTAATATTTATATAATCCCATACCTAGTATAGTATAGAATCTTAATAGAATATTTTACGGTATAGTATATCTATAATATTATACTATGATATAATATATGTATAAGATATTCCGACTAGAATTTCTATATTCTCGTCATTATTCTAATTAACGACTCGATAAATCCGATATAATAGCTACTACTACCATAGCTGCCACTATCATAACTGCTCCTATTATAACTACTACTATCATAACTACGACTACTATAGCTGCCACTATCATGGCTGCCACTACCATGGCTATCACTACTATATCTACCATCGAAATATAGCCCTCGCGCATCTCAGCCACCATGTTTTCCAGCCACCTAATTTTGTACTATATTTAGAACCTAGCCTCGGAGAGATTTTAGAGAATTAATTCGTTCGTTCTATATATCACATATCTAATATTTTAACAGCTATTACTATTATAGCTATTACTATTATAACTACTACTATTTATTATTAAAATAGTCTACTATTATATAATAGCTATAATAGAAATAGCTATAATAGAAATAGCTATAATAGAGATAGCTATAATAGATAGCTATAATAGAAGTAGTTATATAATAGAGATAGTTATAATAGTAGCAGCTATAATAGTAATAGCTATAATAGTCGTAGTTATAATAGTAACAGCCATAATAATAATAGCTATTATATCGAATTTATCGAGTCGTTAATTAGAATAATAACGAGAATATAGAAATTCTAGTCGAGATATTTCATATATATATTATATTATAATATAATATTATAGATATATTATATCGTAGAATATTTCGCTAAGATTTCGAATTCATATTAGAAAAATGAAATAATATTTGATCCTATTTATATTATATCCGGGTACGATATAATATTACTTGATATGAAATATTTTATAAAATATATCATATCTTTCCGGCTAGTACTTAGAGATATTTAGAGTCTATTAAGATAATAAAGTATATCTTAAAACCTCGCTTTCGAGTTAAGGCGAAATCGAGGTTTTAAAAAAACTTAAAACCTCGATCTAAAACTCTACTCTAACCTCGACCCCTCTAAAACTTCGTTAAGATTTCTCGCCTCGTTATATAGCGTAACTCTAAGAAATAGTAACTTATATTTTTATACCCCTATTAATAATAATTTATAAATTTATATTTCGTTAAGATATAAAAATATAAGATAGGGTATGAATTTATAAGGATTATATAGTTTAGAATATGAAAATGTAATTCGCCCTAAACCGTACGATGACAGATAGGAAAATTTATGCTAGTCCGGCTGAAAAGGAAACTTGCTATGGATCATAAATAGCCTGCAGTTATTTGTGGGGTGTCATTCCTCCGCCTTCATATTCCGAATAGCGGCGCTCCGAGTCAAGGATATGGCCGAGGAGGCTCCCACATCATTAAACTGGAAACAATCTTAATGAAATCAGAAGCCTCAGCAAAAAACAGGTGGACCACCTAAAGAGTGAGACATGGGAGGGAGAATGAGACATGTGAGGGGGAGGAGGAAGCTGGTGCGGACGACGTAAGATACAAAATCAGTCATTGGGGCAACTGAAAGGTTGATTGATCTGTGAGGGAAGGGACTGTCTCGATCCAAGTCATTTACATAGGAACAAGGATCTACTCTTCCCAGTTTCTGAACCGTTCAGTGATCAGCGGACCGCCGGACTTTCCCCCCCGTGTGGACTCTTAACATGTGAATAATTGCCGCAGCCCCAGCTTACAAGGTGACATTCAGACGAATAGATAATTACGAGTAGATCAATTCGCACGCTTAAGAAGATCAAAATTGGGATAGTACTATTGACACATTGATGATGATTGTGTACTCGACAAGAAACGGACTACAGAGGTCAGCGGCATCGGGCGGTAGGTCGCAAGCCAGTGAGTCTGCCTACCTTATCGTGGCTTGCAATCATGATTGTTATTCGAAGTCTTCGTAGGATGTATCCTCCGTGAGGCTGTGCTTTACGAGGTTACCTTCTGTTTGCCGGTGAAGCGCTGGTACAATAGTTCAGTGATTTTTAATTCCAGAGACCTCGGCTACTCCTTCCATCTCACGTCAGAGTCTGCTCAGTGGGTGGGGCTAGCCACCAGAAGTTGATAGCTGGTCTTGGCTGCTGGCAGTAGCATTTGAGGGGCTGGGGGCTGCTCTGGGAAAAGGGCTGAGGGATCTGCCCCACATTCACACCTGACATGCTACCTTGTTGAAAACCATGGCAGTCAGCCCTACCCAGTTAGTGGCAGCTAGATTAGTGGCTTGGCACTAGTGTGACAGCTTCTCTTCTATAAATACTATCTACACTCCTTAGTCTAGTCAATACAGTCAATAATACCCCTATTATTCAACATACCTCCTATAATACCATTTCCCTTCTCGGTCTTGTTTCCGGTCTGTACCTGATTTTCAAGACTCGTTGATATCGCTCGAAATTCCAACCCACGCAACGGCCACAATGGCGACGTCCACGCCGGTCTTCACCACAGGCACACGTCTGAAAGATAAAGTATGTATCGTCACGGGCTCGTCTTCTGGTCTTGGTCGCGCAATCGCGCTCGCGTTCGCAGCTCAAGCTACTCGTCTTGTTGTCTGCGCAGACTTAAAGCCTACACCGAAGTCAGACTTCATGGCCGAACAAGCTGGAACGCCGACAGAAGAAGTGATCTGTCAGCGACATGGAGAGAGCAAAGGCATTTTCGTAAAAACCAACGTCACAATCGGTACAGAAGTAGAGGCCTTAGTTCAGACAGCGGTAAAAGTGGGAGGAAGATTAGATGTGTAAGTGTGTTCCGACAATATATATGATACAGAAGATGGCTAATTAGGATCCTTTCGGGGGTTTAGTATGGTCAACAATGCCGGTATAGGAGGCACCGAGAATCACGGAATGGTGCACGAGATGACGGAAGAGACTTGGGATACTGTTATGAGTATCAACAGCCGCAGCGTCTTTCTTGGATGCAAATACGCTTGCGCCCAATTCGTGAAACAGGCGCCTCATTCGAGCGGCCATAGAGGCTGGATCATCAACACCTCGAGCATTATGGGTCTAGTAGGACAAGCGGTCCACGGAGGTATGTTTGACAAGTAATCAGATGTTGCTCAAACCTCTGCTAAGAATGCTTCTCACAGCGGCCTACTGTGCATCAAAAGGAGCAGTAACGCTTCTGACAAAGCAGATTGCAGTGGAATACGCAAAGTATAAGGTTCATTGTAACTGCATATGCCCAGGACGTAAGTCTTCTGTTAGGGTTAGGGTCATACTTTTCATCTTCGTAATCATTACACTCTCGTTGCACTCCGTTTGGTTCATACAACTGACATGTCGTAATCTTTGACGACTAGATCTTCGTACACCCATGACGGAAGATCAGTATCAAGACCAAGAGATGAGAACAGCTATCTCAACCTTAACACCGTGGGGAGACGAATGGGGTGCTGCAGAGGATGTTGCAAAAGGCTACGTGTATCTCGCCAGTGACGACGCAGCCTATGTAACTGGAGTGGCACTACCGATTGATGGTGGATACTGTGCACAATGAGTGTAAGAGAAATGATGGCTCCGAATCATTGTTTCAGGCCAGATACACGCGAGTCCCCATCGTCAGTAGACCAACTGGTGGCCACTTATCTCAACCCCTTCAGATCTCGAAGGTAAAGCAAATTCGCTGCCAAATTTGGAAATCTACGAGACTACAGTGTCATGTTACCTCGAGGAGGGAAGACTACTAGTAAAGATGTTGCATGTATTGAACCATCATGTTGATTGATCTCCATTCGAATTCCTATGACGTCAGAAGTGTTTTAATATACAAATCTAATTTTGGTACATGTGCACCCATATTTGATGGGGTTCTTGAGGTCGTGCTAGGTTCGATTGCTAATGGCACTGGTACAAGGGATTTGCGGTATTTCTTACTCTCTGCCAAGACTGCGGGTCGTAGCAACTTTGACCTGCCTTAGTATTTATTTGTCGCACGGGGTACTGAGTCTGTGTGGGTACAAGTGATTGCTGAGCTTTTCCGTGGAGGAAGGCTGCTGCAGGATGATGTGCCCTTGAGACAAATCTACTAGGCTACCTTATACCTTACACTCATAAGGCTACTGTTAACCTTAAGGTCAAAGGCTCCTAGCAGGAGACATCTGCGAACTTCTTTTACACTCACGACTATTCAAGTAGTCGGAGCCGTTTTCTGCATGAACCCGATTTAAAATAAGAGATACCTTTACATGCATAGATACAGCCTTCTCGCAGCTTTGTGATTTCGGGGACTATGGTATCCGATCATGCGCACCAATCATGGCCGCCAAAATATGGATCTGCGCACAGCCGCACTTCATGCATATATCTCAAGTCCCGATCCCGCTGCTATCATAGGTCACACCATAAATGTATTGATAAGCCCTTTCACATCCTGCCAATAGCCTAAGGTTCTCGCTCCCTCGGACTCAGCCGCACGCGGGCCTATCGGAACTTGTTCCAATCGGGGTGCATTGCATAGCTGTGCCTCAGAAGCCTGTGAAACTTGTTGTCAAGGTTAAAGATTGACGAGGACACCACATTCGTTTTCGACCTCGCGGCAAACTCAGCCATCATCACCACTTTAACCTTGCATTTTTCGTTTCAGCTCTAAGCCATTATTCTCGGTACTTGTCTTCCTCACCCGTCGATCGGGCCAAGGTTAGAATTTCACATCAGCTCCAAGGCCCAAATATATGCAAAGCACACATGTGACTGGAACCTGGCAACATGATGCAGGCAGGAGACGGTTATGTGGAACCACCGTTGCTGATCTCTCCTTCTTCCTTATGCAAATCCTGTAAGAAGGCGGATGGTGGGGCACAGTCAAAAGATCTCCGTGCTGCTGACAGTCTACAGCCTTGCCCCCTCTTCGTCTTGTTAAAAGTTCCCCTCGTCTTGCTGATTCCCAATCAACACTACCTGTTCCAATATCACCTATTCTGAGCTAGTCTTTCCTATTTCATTTTACAAACTTGATCATGGTCTCGCAGCCCACAATGCCTCCGCCCTTTGGCGACAAGAATGCTTCAGCTGGCCTTTTGGCTACAACTATTCTAGTGACCGTTCTAAGTGTTGTACTCGTTACGCTACGGTTTGGAACAAGGATATGGATAGTTAAAAGGGTTGGTTGGGATGATTGGTGCATTCTGTTCGCCTGCGTGAGGATGTTCTACTCCATTCCTCAAGCAAAGTGCTGAAAATTTCTAGCTCGGACATCCTATTGGGACGGCCCTTGTCGTCGTTCAACTCTCTTATGGCTTTGGTAGACCTGCGTACTACTTGAGCCCGCATCAATTTCGAGAATTTTCTAAATACGCATATGGGGAATGGCTTCAGGTAAGGCATATAGTGTTCTACGTATGTTGCATTAGACTGACTTCGACTATCAATAGACTTTTGCAACCCTCACTTTCACCAAAGTCTCCATATGTCTTTTTTTACTACGTATCACCGTTACCAAGGCTTCCATCCGACCTCTGCAGGCCGCCGTGATTATCCTGATTGTGAGCAACATCGTTTTGAGCCTCGTGTGGATATTCCAATGTACACCATATGTGGACAAGGCTTGGGATGACAAGAAACCTGGCAAGTGTTTCTCTAAAGGTCAACTCGAAAGAATAATTATCTCTCAAGCTCGTGAGTGGATCTCATTGGACCCTTGGCCTCACTCACAAACCCTGCAGTCATATCCATAATTTCCGACTTCTTCCTCTCCGCCTTTCCCATTCTCATCCTTCGCAAAGTCCAAATCAGCTTCCGCAGCAAAATTGGCCTCTGCCTCCTCATGGGCCTAGGCGTAATTACCGGCTCCCTGTCCATCGTCCGCACAATCCTAAATTGGCAAAACGAAACCGACGATCCAACCTGGGCTAGCATCCCAAATTGGTACTGGCGCTCATGGGAAGTCTTCTTCGGTATTGCTGCCGCATGCATACCGACCCTACGACCGGGCTACAAATGGCTCGTGAGCAAGATACGCGCTAGGTTCACCAAGTTAGCTAGCGGCGACTCGAAACCGGTAGTGGGCGTGAAGTGGACACCCCCCGAAGCCGTCTGCGCCCTTCAAGTCTTCGAAGAAGCAGACGACAGCAATCTCAACGATGGGTACACATGAGGATTCACTCCCACTGCAGAACTTTGATCCAAGCTTTAGAGCTGATATGGAGCATTATCCTCCAGGTGATCAGGAACAGGAACGTTATCCGCGGGACCAGTTTGGTAACGAGCGGAAAGAGGGGCTGCACATCCCGGGCGATCTGAGCACGCATCGTCCTGGCCATTTTAAGAGGCTTGACTCTGAAGCGAAGGTTGGAGGTGGACTTGGAGCAGAGGAAGTTGAGGACAGGATATGAGCTCACTTCTATATTACACCACTAGTCACTTTTCAAGATTAAAGACAAACAATCATAATGTAAATCCGATAGTGCCTTAATCATACAAGTTAATGAGATATATAAACTTTTTTAATATAAATTTAGCGTATATATTTTACTCTAATACTAGTTTAATAAATTTAATTAATTTTCGAGATTCTTAATTATAAATTTAAAAAAAAGTTTAAATAATAAATTTTTTTTATAGAATTTTAATATATTAATTATATATATTTATAATAAATATTAATTAAGATAAGATTTTCTCTTATTTAGAACTATCTCACGTAACTATAGAAACTTTTCTTTTTCGTAACGTCTTATTTTCGAATTTCTTTTCTCTCGCTTATAGAATTAATATAATCTAATTCTAGAAAAAAAAGTTTAAAATTGAAGACATATTATACTCAACTATTTAAGAATTTAAGATTCGCTTCAGAATAGAAAAAGTTATTATCGACTTAAAGTTTATTAAGTTCTTTTAAGATTAAATCTAAGAGCGTTATAAAGTATATCTTAAAATCTTCTAAAGTCTAATTTATATCGATTCTTTTCTCTACTTATATAATTAATATAATTTAATTCTAGAAGAAATAAATGAAATTAAAGACGTATAATAAATGAAATATTAAAAAATAAAAATTATAAAAATTACTACGAAATTATAAAAGTTATTATTAATTTAAAATTTAATAAGTTCTTTACGTCTAATCTCGAAGCGTTATAGAGTTTATTAAAATTCAAATTACGTAACTCTTAGCGATTACGTAATATAATTACGTAATACGTCTTAGCGTATTTATATCTAGTCGCTATTTTCTCTATAGTAACTCTATAGTTAATCTAACTAAGTATTTTATCTTTATATTTTAATAAGTTATAAGTATTAGTCGAAAAGATATAAAATATTTTACGAAATATTCTATATTAAGTAATATTATATCGTACTCGAATATAATATAAATAAAGTCTTTTAATATAGATTTAAGATCTTAGCGATATATATTATAATATAATTAATATATATAAAAGAATAAGATAGAGCTAAGTTTAAAAATCTTAAATTTATATATATAGTTAATTATAAATTCGAGTTTATTATACTCTTTAATTAGATCGACTAAATTATCGCGAGTAAATAAATTAACGTTTATAATTATCAAAATCTCGCTCTTCTACGCCTTCTTATCTCTCTTATTAAAAAAATAGATATACGTTATTAATATATAGAATAACTTTTTTATTTTCTATTAAATTTTTAAGATTTTTTTTTTAAATTATAGAACGAAATATAGGCTTTTAGATAAAAAAAGAATTTCTAAATTTAGTCTTATAATTATTAAAGCGTAAGGAATTTAAATATCGCTTATTAAAGTTCGCTCGATAGCTCTAATTAAAAAATAGATATATATTATTTAATTTAAGAATAACTTTTTTATTTTTTATTAAAGTAATTTAATCTTTCTTTTAAATTATAGAACGTAATATGGGCTTTTAAATAAAAAAAGAATTATTAAATTTAGTCTTATAAATATTTAAAGATAAAGAATTTAAATATCGTCTATTAAAAGTTCGCTTATTAAATTTACTCGATAGCTCTAAAAAAATAGTTATAAATTTATTTTATAAATCTTTACTCGTTATAACTATTACTATTATAGCTATTATATAATAATAAACTATTTAAATAATAGATAATAATAGCTATAATAGTAATAGCTATAATAATAATAATTATAATAAAAATAGTTATAATAGTAATAGCTATTAAAATATTAGATATATAATATATAGAACGAATAAATTAATTCTCTAAAATCTCTTCGAGACTAGATTTTAAATATAGTATAAAATTTACGCTACGTAACGAAGCGAGATAAGGCGAGATTTTAAATACTTAATACTATCTCGCTTCGAGGCGAGATTTTAACGAGATAAGATTAAATCGAGATAGTATTTTTTTTATCGAGATAATAAGAATACTTCGTTATTTTCGCTAAGCGTTTAATTAAGTTAGCTCGAGACTATTATCTTAATAATACTTCTATAATATTTCTATAATATCTCTATAATTTCTTAATCTTATATATCTTATACTCTTATTTAAACTACGATATCGTATTTTATACTCTATTTTATTCTATTTTTAATATATTTTATAAAAATTTAAGAGAATTACTTAGAGATATTTAAAGTTTATTAAGATAATAAAATATTTTTTAAAATCTTACTTTCGAGTTAGAGCGAGATCGAGGTTTCGAGAAAACTTAAAATCTCGATTCGAAATTCTACTCTAATCTTAATCTCCCTTAAAACTCTATTAAGATTCTTCGCCTCGTTACGTAATATAATAAAATTAAATAATTAAAGAATACGATAATTAAAATATATAAGAGCTATAGTTTAATAGTAGCTATAATAATAATAGTTATTATAATAGTAGATATAATAGTAATAGCTATAGTAATAATAGTTATAATAGTAATAGTTATAATAGTAATAGCTATTATATCGAATTTATTAAGCTATTAATTAAAATAATAATTAGAATAACTATTTATACTTCTAAATATAGAAATCTTAATTAAAATATTTTATATATATACTATTTTATAATATAATATTATAAATATAATATATTATAATATATATCGTTAAGATTTTATATTATACTAGATATAGAATTATATATATTATTAAGATTTTATATTATATTAGATATAGAATTATATAAATATAAATATCTTATATCTTATTAAAGTATAATATAATATATTAATATATTATATTAATTTATATCTTTTTAACTAATATATTTATCTCTTTATAAATTAAAAAGAAGTTAAATATATTCTATTACTTTTAAAGTTTATACTCGCTTTAAAGAATAATAATACTTTTTATAATAATATAAAGCTATAAATAGCTATATTAGATCTTATCGCGTATATAGAAAAAATTATACTTTTAACTCTTTACGATATTATTAATATTCTCTTAATATAAGAAATATAGAGATTTAGATAGTTAGAGAGATTTAAAAATATTTTTATTTAATTAAATATCGTTAAAAAATAGCGTTAAAGAGATTTATTTCGTAAAGATAAATTAGTTACGATGTTAATATTAAGAAGAAAAATATTAATTTAAAACTTTTTCTTTTCTTATATTAAAGTTTTATTAGAAGTTCTCTAAAAGTCTAATTATTAAATTATCTTATTATTCTTAATCTAGTAATAATATTTTAAAAATTTATAACTAATAAAACTATATATTAATTAATTAAATATCTTATAATACGTTTAAAATTAGAACTTATTTATAAGTTAATAATATTCGAAATATTACTTTTCGTAATAATTATATAAGCTCTATCTTCTTCTTTCTTCTCTATATCTATTAATATATTCTTATTATTATCTTCGCGAGTTAATAATTAAAATTAGAATTAATCTTTATTAATCGTAATTTCTAAGAATATATAGATATTAAAGTCGAGATTTATATAAGTAATAAAGATTCTATAAATATAATTAATAAGAATTATAATATAAGATAAAGAGAAATAAAATTACTAACGCTCGTATATAATAATTAAAAGTATTTATATTAATTAGCGAAATAATAATATAAAGATTTAAAGAAGAATATATAATAGATAATAAAATTATATAGAAGTTAATTATATTAAGAAGATATTAATAAGAAAATTATATAAAACTTTAAATATCTACGAGATTCTTATAAATAGCTCTTTATCTTTAGAAAAAATAGAATATTTTATATCGCTTAATAGAAAGATATAATACTATTAAATAATAACGTTATTCTTTTATTATAAACGAGTAAAGATCTATAAATTAAATTTATAGTTATTTTTTTAATTAGAGTTTAGTAGGCTATTAAGTAAATAGATAAGCGATCTTTAATAAGCGATATTTAGATTCCTTACGCTTTAATAATTATAAGATAAATTTTTAAAATTCTTAAAATTTCGAAAAGCCTAAATAGCGTTTTAAAATTAAAAAAAAAAAAAAAAAAATTAATAGAAAATAAAAAAGTTATTATTATTATAAATAATATATATCTATAATTTAATAAAGAAGACGCGAAAGAGCGAGATTTTAATAATTATAAATACTAATTTATTTATTCGCGATAATTTAATAAGTTTAATTAAAGAGCGTAATAATCTTAAATTAATAATTAACTATATATATAAATTTAAGATTTTCTAATTTAGCTTTATCTTCTTCTTTTATATATACTAATATAAATTCTTAGCTTTTATTTAAATTTATAATAGTAACTAACTTATATAACTACGCTTTATAATAAAATAAAATATTAAGTAAATATTTAATTATATAATATAGTCGAATAATCTACGCTTATTATCGCTTTATTCGCTAATAGAACTCGTTATAATCTATAATTACTTTTAATATCTTATAGCGAGTTTCGATATTAATTAAAGTAGTATATATATTATTAATATATATTCGATATTATAAAATTATATATTTTTTAATATTAAACGCTATAGAATTAATACTTACGCTCGCTAGACTTTTATTATAAACGAGTAAAGATCTATAAATTAGATTTATAATTATTTCTTTTAATTAGAGCTATCGAGTAAATTTAATTAACGATCTTTAATAAGCGATATTTAAGTTCTTTATCTTAAAACATTTATAAGACTAAATCTCATAATTCTTTTTTATCTAAAAGTCTAGGTTTTATTCTATAATTTAGAAAAAAATTAAATTTTTTTAATAGAAAATTAAAATGTTATTTTAAAATTAAATAATATATATCTATTTTTTAATTAAAGCTATCGAGCGAACTTTAATAAGCGATATTTAAATTCTTTATCTTAAAATATTTATAAGACTAAATTTAATAATTCTTTTTTTATTTAAAAGCTTATATTACGTTCTATAATTTAAAAGAATAATCGTATTATTTTAATAGAA